GCTTACGCAATAAACTATTCTTATTCTTATTCTTATTCTTATTCTTAAATCACTATGATTCTAGAACAATTCACATTTTGCAATATGTATATTTTACTTAATTTCGTTTAATACAATAAATTATACTAAAAAACTATGTTTAAGATCCGTAAATAATTGTATGATACTGGTAACACAATCGGGCTCTAAAACATTTTTTGTGTCGTCATTTTATCGTGTCATCTATGTAATTCGTGCTTCGTTTCTCGAACTCGAAAGTTTTCAGTCAACGTAGTACGTTCCTATCGAGTATTTAACCAGAAATAGAACCGAAATAAGGTTCCTCCATCCCTGGCAACTTATCAGTCACATGGTACTGATATCACTTCTAAATATGAACTATTGTTTGCGCTGAAATCACAAATTGGAATGCTGAAATAATACAGTGCCAACAACTGATATGTGTACGTCTCCGTATATTCCAAAAATATTCTGTATTCATTATAATAAGGATAATATCTCTAACTATGGGAGGCTGTTCTATTCGGTGGTGTGGGAAAAGCACCAAAACATCTAAATACAAAACAAACGGAATCACATTTCATCAGTAATTAAATATTAAATTATGTAATTTATCAATTTTCGTTCATTAAAGCAAAGCTCAAGTTAAACTAGTCGATTTGAAGTTAAACAATTGACGACACCCGTCAATTGTTATCGGAGCGCAGTTGTCAACAGAATAGCTTTCAGACAAATTAAATGTCATTTCGTCTCTATTTCTGGTTACAACGTGTTGATTTGCATTCTCGCCATATTTACAGAGGTCACTATATCCGAAACTAAACCCAAATCACTAAAAAAATAAATCGAAAAAAAAAAATTTCGTAAATTCCTATTTGTTAATTTTTTAAATTTGTAATTTAAACAAATTTGATCCAAAGGTCATTGACTTGCACAGCACTTGCAAACATTTTGAACAATGACCTTAAATGCGCAGAAAGAAACGTATTTTAGATCTATTTGGTGGTGGGGTGCGGGTAGCGACGGCGGGAGAGTGCGCGATTGGTAGATCAGTCGCCCTTACTTCCCGTGTTCCGTCTAAGTCACGCTGACACATTTACATACATGCTATTCTAATCTGTCACGAGTTAGTAGTGCAAAAAAGAACCACTACCAGGTTCCCCAGAACCTGCATGGTGATCCATCAAGTACAAGTGCGTGTTTATTCTTATGGCAAGATGTGAAACGTTTAGTTTACACGGAGGATACGAGTGTCGAAGTTTCTGCTTTCAAAGTTCTGGAGTCTAATGTTGAAACGAAACTCACGTGCGAATCTCTGCATAATTGGTGGTGCCTCCATTACGGAGCCAGCCACCAGCTGTGGAGCTAGGTACTTCTAGCAATAGTTTCATGTAACCTAAAGTTAGTAAGTACCAAATCTAAGTTGCAACAAACTTTTTTCAGTCAACTTTTCTAATTAATGTAAATAAATAGTAAATTATAACAATACTAGTACATAATCATAATTTAAAAAATAGGCAAATAAGCGATCGAAAAAGATTACGTATAGCTCGGTGAAACGGGTGGCGGGGTCACTGCCCTTGCGTGGTGCACACAACTTCGAGACAATTTTGCAAAACTTTACTAGATACAATTAGCCAGAATATTAAACAGAATATTTTTTTAAATATTTTTAGATGATTTAGCATTATTTTTATTATTAATTTCTTACATCACTCGCAAATCAACACACTGATGTGCGTTCGATAGCTTATTGACAGTAATTTGCAATGTTTCTGTTTTTTTGTAATATTTTCTATTACAAGTAATAGATAATTAAAATTGTAGAAAATGAGAACTTCCTCCTCTTCCCATTTCATAAAAATAGAATTTTTAGCTCACCTGTATTCACTCTTTGACAATGACATTTCTTTGTTTACGTTTTGGATATCTAATTGTGATTTACGCTATAGTACTTTTAATTCAATGCATTTCAATTAAGAAGCGAAAGAGGCGCCAGGAGCAAGTCGATATGGATAATCTCAATCTACTGTTTCCGTAACCCTCTCTGTAAATCACTGTATAAATATAATAATGATAATTTAACAGCCTTGAAGATGGTGTCCTCCAATCGTACGAGCAACACGAAGACTCTGTGTACTGCGCTGAGTGGAGCGCCGCGGAGCCCTGGACCTTCGCCTCGCTCAGTTACGACGCCCGACTTGTCCTGTCCCGTGTGCCGAGACATTTTAAATACAAAATACTGCTATAGTCAACTACATTGACACAATTGGCTTGTTTCTAGTTGTACAAACAGCAAACAGAAAAGACCATTCACCCTGGCATTGTATTAAATAGTTATATATTTTAATTACATTAATTGTTATAGATCTTAAGGCTTTATATTGTTGTATCACAGTAACACTGAATTAAATAGGACTTGTTCATCAAACACACACATACATAGAAAACAACATGACATGTGTCTAATAAACTAGGAATTATTCTGATTTCTATAATGTTGATGAAAAGGATGAAGCCTCAGCATAGTGCTGTTTTTCAGTCTATGAATACATATAGGAGCGGCAACAATAACATGTTCTGTCATTAGACTTTGTGGCACTACGATTAGAAGTTACAGCAAAGTTCAACTGATTGCAAAATGAAAGTGAAATAAGTCACTAAATTAAGATAAAAGGATGTTAAATTATGTTTTTAGTTAATTTCTAAAGTAGTATTTATTTTATTGAATAAACAATTTATATTCTATACTAAGTGATTCTTTTAATAACTACTGTGTAATTACACTTATTAAAGATGTAGTAATAAAAAAAACAAATATAAATAAACATTTATTAAAATTTAAAATCTCTCAGCGACTCTGTTTGCTACATTTCTTAAATTCCCATATACTTTTGAAGGCGGAGATCCCATTATCAGATTACATATAGCTCGCCTAGCTAATGCTATGTTCTGATAGCTTCCCAGTATATGAATCTTAGAGTCTGCTAATACAATTCTAGTTTTCGTTACATTTTCTATTGTAAACTTTGTACGGCCTGCTTTGCCAGCTAATCGGCCAACAGCTCTACTCAAATGATCACCTTGAAGGGTTTTTACATCTTTTACTTCAAATGATTCAACAAATAAGTCGTCTAATCTGAGGAGAGCCAGTGAGTCTTCTACTTCAAAGCCGTAGATAAAAGCCTGCAACAAAATTAGTCATACTGCAAAAGTACTAAGTGAAGGTTTAAATAATAAGAATTTCTTTACAAATTGTCAAGTAAATTTGGTTCAGAAACTGCTACTTCCAGCCACTAGTACCAAGATTCTTAAGTTCTTCCAGGACTTAATTGCTCCAGCTGTACCTGTACCAACCAGCAGATGTGGCGGAATCTGGTGTCAGAGACCTAGACCAACTATGTGTCACTGCCACCAAAGGAAGTAAGTAAGATTTGGTTTCTTGCCCGTTGAAGAACTATTTCTTCCATTGATGATAGGAAAATCCATGCACCACCATGTTTAAGTGCACGTCCATGTACCAGTTTAAAACTAAATATTATTTTCTAATTAATTGGTTTTAGTAACAGTATGGTACCTTAACAAAATCGGCCGCTTTTTGCAAGTTGGCAATGTCCTTAGTCTCTGGACCAACTCTGATCTCGACATTGCGTGTCTTTGTGTTGAACCTAACTTGCAGCAAGAGGTGTTCTACAATTGGTGTGAATATTTTCAACCAGTTTTCTTTTAACGGTGTGTATCTGAGAAAAGAAACGAGAAGTTCAGAAAGTCGTTCCAATTTTAAATTTCGCAAAGAAACTAGAATGTGTGGGTGTACATTTTTTTAGAATTTATTTAGACAGAAAAAATTCACTAATTAATTTATTGCTTTTATATTTAGAATCTTATCAAATGCTGCTGTGTCGACTCTTGAGAGTAAACTTACTAAAGAATAATATCATGCACTGGTGAAAAACACATAAAATTTTGAGGTTATATACCTATGTGCGGGAACAGCTACTTTTCTCATATTAACTTTGCTTTCATTGGGTTCAGCGTTTTTCTTTGACTTCTTTGCCTTCGAGCGAGAGCGTTTGGGCCTTCCTTGGATACCATTGTGTTCTTCCACATCCATACCTTCGCCAGATTCCGAAACAGCTCTCCGCTTGACAGTTTTAAGCTTTATAGGGTTTTTTGCAGGTAGGAAATCATCCACACTGATATTTTCTGTCTCCATTCTTAATTATATTTTGTTTCACTTAGCGTGAATTTAGTTATTTTGAGAAAAGTTATGATTTATAATACAAAATAAATCGACACATGGCATCGTGTGAAGAGCACAGACTAAAAAGGAGTCTGACAGCCACAGAACACCTGACAGCTGTTGGAATTGTAGTGATGGCCCCTCAGACTAAGGAAACTGTTTTTTTCCATCCTCTAAGGATGCCCTGTTCTATGCCTCCATCGTTTTCATAAAGTATTTTTAACTTTTAACGGATTCAAATATTAAGAATAATTGTCATTTCTTCTAAATTGTTTTCATTATCTAACACTACTGAGTATATTCATATTATACTGATTATGAACATACCAATTGTATTAGCAGAACAAATCTGAAATTGTAATAATGTGTGAATCTAACAAAAAGATTTTAAGATTTTTGGAAATGAACGCATCTTTAGAGTCGGATGGAAAAATGAAGGGATGCACGATTTTTGTTTCTGAATCGATTTTTTAAATCGATCTCTTAAAAATGGTTACAAAATTCGATTTGTTATAAATAAAACATCTTTTCATTATATAATTTAACTGCTGTAATAATACGTAAATATTTTTACTTGTGATTAATATATATTAACTTAAAGTCCAAATCCTTGTATTCCTTTTTTTTTTCCGTTTCCGTACTTTACGAAAAAAGAGTGGTGTCTCTTCATGTGATTACCAAGTTCGTGGTACTGCCTTCTGTTTTTACGACACACTGGCATATTTTGCATTTTTGGACCAAACATTTTGTGGCGGCTTTAGACGCCGCCTATTATCACCGGCTGGCTGTGGCAGTCTCTTTGGACGAGTGTCGCCAAGGAGAGTGTCACACTTGCCGAAAATGTTTGACAGTATTTAGATACGTAAATTGTTATGTCAGCGATTGCAAATTGTTTGCCCGGTTTGATAAAAAGCTATTTGTAAAAACCACGAAACATTATAATTATATCGCTGTTCACGAAGTTCACGAGGTCGTTTTATTGTTCGTTAAGGGAGCGATAAATTCCCCAAAATTTGGTTAAATCGGCGGAGCCACCTCAAAATCACAATTACACGCGGCTAATCACAACGAAAAATAAAACTGAAATACAGTTATGAATTATGATGAATAAATGTTTCATTATTTGTTTAGTATGTACCCTATACAATGCGGGGAATGTAAATTGTCAACAGTTGTCTGTAACAGATCTTGCTTCATTGATAAAAATAATTATCAATACCTACATAGAATTATTAATAATGACTGACCAAAACAAATTAATAAGACGAAGCTTTTGTTTAAATTTTGAATACGAACTTGACGATTCGACTCGTCTTAATATTGAATCGATGTACATAAAAATCGCCAAATCGAATTCAGTTGAAATCTTCGTAATAATCGAATTGTAATGTACAGCACATTGTGCATCTCTAAAGGAATGGTTATGTCATAATTTTCTAAATCTGATACGATTTTTATTGTTTTGATAGAATTAGTTTGGGGTAAGAATTTAGGTTTATATTTATAATTAGGCGTTTCATTTGAGTGTAAATGTAATTATGAAATTATTTTACAGGTACCTAATAGTACGTGGTACCTCAACTCAACATGTCTTGTTTGATAAAGACCGCTGTTGTGAAGTTAATCGCGCCGAGTCAAACAGGCAAAATAGCAGCATGCACCTTCATTCAGCACCGCAATATCCAAGGCAAGGCTTTGAGGGAGTCCCTTCCTCCGCCGCCACCTAAACCACATCCTTTCGACTATGTTAATAAGGACTACACTTGGTTGAAAAGTTTAACCGATCGTACGACTCATAGAATGGATGAAAATTCTAAAGTAGTGATTGTCGAAGGCCCTTGCGCGTCTGGGAAAACAGACTTCGCGAGATGCCTAGCCATTGACCTCGGCATGAAGCACTTTCCTGAAGCCACAATGGATATTCATTACTGCCGCCAGGGTGAAGATTTACGCCAATTCAACAGCCAAATCCCTGAAGATACTAGGACTTTTGACCATGTTGATTTTAATCTCTGTCCAACGCACCGTTTGGCGGGCAACTTCCAAATTATGATGTATATTGCTCGCTACAGCCAGTACATTGATGCATTGACTCATTTATTAAACACTGGCCAAGGCGTTGTCCTAGAGCGGTCCCCATACTCTGACTTTGTATTCCTTGAAGCTATGCACACATGCAAGTACATTAGCCGGGGGGTTCGGTCAGTGTACTATGAACTGAGGGAGAATACTATTGAAGAACTGCTGAGGCCCCATCTGGTTATTTATTTAGATGTCCCTGTGGATAAGGTAAGTTTTTTTAATAATCTATATACCCATACAATTCCTTTGTCATTAAGTAACTTATTATTATATAAAACAAAAATTAATTAAAATTACATTAAATATATTTCACGTCTTAATTATTTAAAAAAAATAAAAAATTTAATACTGTTTATTACAAATATTAATAACAAGTTACAGTACATTCAAGGTAGAATCTTAAAATTAAAGATTGTCCTTTTCTAGTGAGTTGCGTTAATATGTAACATACAACAATTAAATCAATGACCAGTTTGCGTATGCCTCCTCTGATATTATGCTACTGTGTATGGTTGTAAAATAATGCCTGTCCATTTGTTATTAATTGAATAACCTTGTTTCCTTAGATGTTACATTAGAAAGTATATAATATATGTAACCTTTGCAATCAAAATGTCCTAATTAGAAAATTGAAGAAAATGAGTTTATAGTGTATAAAAACACAAACTTTAAAAATAATTATTCATATCTTTGTTAATTTGGACCTGACTCATTAAGGTATCTTTAAGAAATTCCACTCCCACGTCGGTATGTAAATGCATTTAGTGTTCAACTGTATCTGCAAAAACAACACTCCACCACATTTGCTAAAAAGTAATGGATTGGCAATGGAGCCATTTTTGTTCCAAAAATAATAATTAAATTTTAATAAACATGACTTGTTTTTTTACTTTGATAAGGTCCTAACATCTTACTTAGCTGGTGAAAATGAAGGAGACTTAATTCTTGTAATAAATAGGAATATTTTTTATTTATAAATAGTAATGTTATAATGTTATTGGACTTGTTCATCTACAGGTAACCAAGTTTATCCAAACCCGTGGGTACAAGCACGAAGTGGGTGGACAGGCTTTAACTCAGGAATTTCTTTGCGAAATGGACCGTGTGTACAAGAACAAATATTTGCGTGATATTGCCACACATGCCGAATTGTTGGTTTATGATTGGAGCGGTGGCGGCATGGTTGAAGTGGTGAGTTACAATATAATTGTTAAGAAAAACGTTAGAAGGGCCTATAATATCTATGTATGTGTATATATGTATAATGTACATTGGTAAAATATTGTCTTTTTTACACAACATTATCTGAGACAATAACATCGCTATGTTGCTTTGATCCCATAGTAAGTAATCTAGCATACCAATGCTTTACTTTCTCAAACACTTTTTTATTCTTATTTTTAATAAGGCCTGTAACACTTGGGTGTCAATGTCGGCCTTATGATTATATTATTCTACTATATTGTGTGGCCTCATAATGAGAGGAAAGACCTCACTATGAATATAGAGTTTTAGCCCTCTTCACCAGTTGTTCACCCAAAACACATCTTATAAAGTAATTATTCATGAGATGGCAAAAAATTATATTTAAATTTCTTATCAAGGGTGTTCATTTGGATGTTTTACTTTAAGAATAGGTAAAAGCCAGTGTGTGAATTTAAAGTAAATCAAATGTGAAATCAGCCTGCAAATTCGCATACAATGTGTTGATTTGCATTCTCGTCATATTTACAGAGGTCATTCTATATCCGAAACTTAACCCAAATCAGTAAAATAAAATCGTAAATTCCTATTTTTTTATTTAATTGCGGTAAACAAATTTGTTCCAAGGGTAATTGACTTGCACAGCACTTGCAAACATTTTGAACAATGATCTTAAATGTTAAAATAAGAATTGGTAGAAAAGAAGCTGTCAGTACTGCGTCAAGTCACGCTGACATCCCGTAAAGGTACATACATTCTACTCTAGTCTGTCACGAAATGCCACGTGGTTTGGTATGTAAACAAGTGTTAATAAAGTAAAGTAAGTAAAAAAAAGTAAAATAAGTTAGTAGTGCAAAAAAAAGAGTTGGTAGTACAAGTGCGTGTCTATTCTTATGGCATGATGTGAAACGTTTAGTTTACGCGGAGGATACGAGTGTCGAAGTTTCTGCTTTCAAAGTTGTGAAGTCTAATTTTGAAAAGAAACTCACGTGCGAATCTCTTCATAGCTGTGAAGCTAGGTACTTACCCTAACCTAAAGTTCGTAAGTACCAAATCTAAGTTACAAAAAACTTTTTTCAGTCAACTTTTCTAATCAATGTAAATAAATAGTAAGTTCATAATTAAAAAAAAATAAGTAAATAAGCGATCGAGAAAGATTACGTATCGCTCGGTGAAGCGGGTGGAGGGATCACTGCCCTTGCGTGGTGCAATAGACTTCGAGACAATTTTGCAAAACTTTACAAGATACAATTAGCCAGAATATTGACCAGAATATTTTTTTAAATATTTTTAGATGATTTAGCATTATTTCTATTATTAATTTCTTAAATATGACGAGAATGCAAATCAACGCACTATATGCAATGCATTTTTTGCATTTTAGTTACTTTGTGCTTTAACATAAGATTTTGAGAAAGTAAGGCGACGATATTATTGCCTTGATACCATAGTAAGTTATCTAGTAAAATGAAGCACTTGTGTTATGGAAAAATAATGGTGGTAGAAAAAACGGATGGTGCCACAAACTTCACACACAAACCTTATATGTATAATATTAATATCTATAAAATATTATTATCTAATGTCTGGGTGTTTGTGGTACCATCGTATATTGTATATTATAACTTTTAGTTAGTTTTTCCCCATTGACCCGGTTCGGGGATAGAACTCAGACCCTCAAAGATGGCAACACCATTACAAACCAGTGTGCAAGCCACTCGACCAGAGATTGTCATAGAGTAGGTAAAACGGTTAAAATAATTTGTCATTAATAGCATGGTAAAATGCAAATAGAATATGTTTGAGTTTGTTTATGATGATAGTTTTGATAATTTATATGAAAACCAAAATTCTGTTACATGCGTTTCAACATGGTGCCAATTTTGTACACAAACTATGCCAATTAGGTTAGTATGTACAGTGTACTGTTTTGCTTTCAGTAACCAAAGAACAAAAACACAAGACAAAATTACTGCATTTTATGTTCAACTATATATGTCTACAATTAATAAATCTTGTCTGAATAAAATTTGTCTGCAATTCATTATGCAAAATTTATGTTTATTATTTTGGGAGCTGCCATAATGAAACTAAAAGTTAATATTGAGAAACAGTTAGCCTGTTGACAGGAGTTAGCTAGTTTGTGATATACAATAGTCGGAAAAAGGTGTTCCACATGCGTAGATACATGTATAGTTATAGTTACAAGGAGCGACATAGAGTTGTTAAATCACCAAATATTAATTAATTACTTTTTCGAATTCCTGATTTCCGGAAATGGCTTTACTGCATCGTAAGACAAAACAACTGACCTATGAAATCGAAGTCGTATTTTAAAGTAATTTTAATGGAGCCATGTAAAAAATGCAGTAACCATAAAGAAAAAAACATTTAAATAGCGTCTTTCAATTTCCAGGTAATAGAAGACATAGAGCGTCTCGACTTCGACCAGTATACGGAGCGAGATGATCCAAAGATGAAGGACTGGCGTTTCCCACGAGAAGTGGAATGGGCTGATCAGAGAATGAAATTCACTAACCAGAAACATTACTTGATGAACTTATTTGCAATCCCTCGTATTGATGTCCCCGAGTTAATTACTTCGCCGGACGATGACTACGAGCGCAGACAGGTAAGGGTTCATTCGCGATTAAATATCGCGATTACCTTATTTCAAAGTGATTATAGTGAGATAAGTTGGCCCCAAAAATATTCGTACTTGCGTTAACATAAAGTGGCTGGATAAATGAATTTGAGTCGCCGCGGTTGGCTGCTCAAAATGTAGGCAGTATGGATTGATATATGTTGAGCAAAAAAGTTTTGCCGTGGTGTTCGCACCTTTGGTGCATAACATTTCAGGAGAGGTTTAAAAATTCTACAATTGAAATTAATTGATAACTTTTTATGCTTAAATAGGAGAAATATTTCACCTTTACATAATTTATTTCATGTACTTCTTATGACTTTTGTGTGATAAAAGCGCATTTACGTATGACCACATGTGGCCTTCACACCAAGAGTACGAAATAATTATGTGTGAGTTTTCTAAGTTTTTTTTATGTACTTGCTTTTAATTGAGGCTTTAGCCACCTTGAGTGACTATGTCAGCCTCATGGGAGGAATACTGGTTCCATACTCAAGGAACATGTTCAAAAACTTATACAAGTTTAGAGCTCCAATACATACAGGCTTTCTGAGCCAACAATTCATTTGTCCGTTGCATAAACATACATTCCCAAACATTGTACCCCTCAGGGTTACGTTACGGTCACATTCCACCAATACATGATACAGATCCTCTATTTTATTGCAAGCACCGTACTATGGGGATGGTTTAAAACCCATCATATGAAAAAATTTATTAGTTGGAATGTGACCAGAACGCAGCCTTAAAGCTGATATATTTCCGTTTTTTAGGTTGAAGTAATTCCATCATTAGACTGAATTTACATAGCCGCGGAACGGAAGCATCAATTTCGCCTCGTTACGCGAGAAGGCGCGCGCGGTCGCTGGAAGTTCGAGCATTCGCGAGCTTTCTCGTTGTCGTATTGTATCGTCAAACTGCGTCGCCTAGGCAGCTGCGGAAATTCCCGGGCGTGCGCGAAAATTCATCGAAAGACGCGCGACTTGTTTTTTGACTCGTATGTAGTTTGTTAACGTACAATTGACATAATGTTCCTTTTGCTATGTACAATTTCATTACAAATATTCGATTCAATTCCATTCTGCCGCAATGTAAATTGAGCCTTATAGTTTGGACGCGTCGTGTTGGTTCAACAACATTCTACATTTTCTAACTAATTCGAAGATATGCTTATCATAATGTTTATCAATTAAACATTATGCACACAGTTGAAGTGTTTATTACATACAGTAACTCAAAGATGATGGAATTGAGAAAACACAATTTGAAAGTTTAAAAAAATACTAAATGGAACAATTTCTTTTTTCTCGTTTATAAGTGGATAAGTAACTATTATAAAGCTAATCAATATACGTAGTGGCAGTAGAGCTCCTTGTGAAAGAGTTCGTCCAGGAAAGTATTACTACCTTACCTATTTCTACCGCCAAGCAGTAATGTAAGCATTACTGTGACTTCCTTGGGTTCTCCGGTAATAATGGGTATTCCTCAGGGCTCAATACTTGGACCGTTCTTATTTCTCATTTATATTAATGATCTATCATTCTTTGTCAAGGACCGTTGCGACATAGTATTGTTTGCTGACGACACATCCTTGATTTTTAAAACAGACAGACATCACATTAACTATGATAATATCAACGATACCCTTTCAAAGGTAGTTTATTAATGTTAACAATTTATTGCTTAATGCCAAGAAGCCAAAGTGTGTCAAATTTGAATTACCTAATGTACAATCGACTAGTCCAATTATAGAAATAAATGGAGAAAAGTTAGACTTTGTTAATAAAGCTGAATTTTTTGGAGTGACCTTAGATAGTAAACTTTAATAGTTTCCACATATATCTTCCTTAGCCAGCAGATTAAGCTCTGCTGCATACGCAGTCCGTAGAATACGTGAGCTTACCGATGTTGCTACTGCTAGACTAGTTTAGTTAGTTCCATAGTATAATGTCCTACGGGATTCTCATGTGGGGTAAAGCGGCATATATACAAACCATATTTGTGTTGCAAAAACCAGCGATTTGTTCTGTGTACCGTTTAGGTTATCGGGTTTCTCTCAGAGAAAAGTTTAAGGAGACTGGTATCATGACTGTGGCATCACAGTACATTTTACTCGAATATTTTGTATGCCCGTAAAAATACACATAATTTCATTAAGAACTCTCATGCCAAAAAAGTCTTGACGTTGGCTCCGCCCAAATTTGTGAAACAAATATATGCCTGAAGTTCGTGTGACATGCGACAGGAGATGTTGAATTTTGCGCATTAAAAGTACCAAATTCGTTTTAGCGGCATAACTTTAAAACTAAAGGGAACTAAAGGGGATTGAAAAAAGTCCGTAGTGACAGTTGTCGATCATGCATAAATATAATTAATTATCTAATTTTTGTCCTAATAACCTGTAGCATTTCGAGGATAAATCGAAAAATGTGAAAATTAGAGGTCATTTCATGATTTTTATCTATCGAGGAAACTTTATTGTTTTATGTTTCTGATTAATGTCTATGCTTGAATATATCGTGTAGTTACTCATACAATATTTTATTTTTAACTTTAAAGTGGATATACCCCTCTAAAATCAAATCGAAGATTAGGAATTTTTCCTCTGCTCCCTCTTAAGACAACAGATTTTCATAATATTAATCTTAAAACTAAGTCCAAACTCATGGTACCACGATTTCGTTTAACTAAGGTAAACGATTCTTTTATGTGGCACTGTATACGTTTTTACAGTAACATTCCGGAGAATATAATAAGATTGTCATTTCCTAAGTTTAAAACTTACATTAAAAGTATTTTAATTGAAAAGTCATTACAAAATTGAAGAGTATGTTTTAGATTAAGAAGTAGGGAAAGACAACAAGAGTCTAGATTGTTCACAATTATGATTCAAAGTGTATTTAAGTTTATTTGAAAAGAGCAATCCCTAGAGTTTCTTGCTCGTTCTTCTCAGGGAGGTCGACGTAGTGAACGAGCAGTAGCTTAAAATGTAGCTTAACAATGACGTTTTGAAGTGTAAAAATTTTACTTTCATTTTGACTGCGTTCCGGTTTTGAAGAGTACGGGAGCTGGTGAAATTACAGACACATGGGACTTGTCAACTTATATTTCAGGGTGTCGGGCGCAGTGGCAGAGCCCCTCAGATTTTTGTGAATTAAAGCTTCAGAGCTTGTGGTACTGCGACTGTTATGGACAGGCGTGTCGCTTACCATTAGGCGCACGACTTGTTCGTGCCGTCACTTTCTATTTACGGCAAAAAAATAGTTTTCCATATATATGTGCGACATGTCCTTGATCATTATTTAATTACATTCTAATTTTTTTATAAACTAGATTTCTAAATTGCGTAAATAAAAAATATCAAAATTATATTTCATTGTTCGCAGGTTATTTATTCACACCCCAAATTCGAATTCTTGGAGGGCTACAACGCGAGAGCTAACGATACAGGTCTCCTGTTCAAAAACAAGATGCCTAAATACACAGAATACATGTAATTATTTTGTCTGTGCAATGTAGAACAATCTTCATTAAAATGTAATAAAATTATTTAAATGTTACCATTTGTTTTAATTGTTAATATAAATAATAATAATAAATAAATAAATATTAATTGTTAATATACACTAGCCTGCATGGTCATTGAAATATGTATATCAGATAGACCACCATATCATGCTTAGGCACTGAAATGGAAGGTTTGGGACCATAAAAACATTTTAAAGAATCTGCTTTCAACTAACAACCTTTATAAATTAACACAGTATTGCAGAATACCTACAACGATTTTAAACAGCAGGTGTGAGCAGGCAAGTGGTGAGCAAGCGAAACTTTGTCGTGAAATTAACATTCTGACACTAGCGCATAGTGCATTTATGAAAATGTAATTTATGTAAATAAGAACAGTAATTTTTATGAAAAATTTGTTGACAGTCGTCTTCACAACGCCACAAATCATTTAAGGGGATTGCCCCTTACGAGTACACGTATACGCTTCTTTAATAAGATTCCATGTGATATTCAAAATTTGCTATTAAGGTACGGAGTTTAAAACTAGTGAAACAAAAACTTTATAAGGTTTTTTACGGCTTCTGCGTACTGGATGCCAAAAATCCGTGGTAGTGACCTGTTTACTTCTTACAGGTAGTCTCGATCGAATATGTTTGAAGCAAATATTGTAAATTATATTAATACGTATATTTTATTTACAAAGAGTAACCGATTTTCTTGCTTGCGAATGAGCAGTAGTATTCAATCAATATGATTATTTCACGTGTAATTTGCTTACCTATCAAATAAAGATAAGAGTTCGTGAATACAGCCCCAAAAATAGACGTAAGGAAACGGATGTTATATTCTTAAAAACCGTTTGGCGTAAGTACACGGGTGCTTTATTCACGATACGATGCTCGTCGCTGTATGCTCAGTTCAAATTCCTAGGTGAACCACAGGAAGAATAATAATAGTAATAACGCATACACTCAATATGTTCCGCACTAGGGAAACTGTCGCGGGTGCCATGGACACACACGTAGACAACCACAAATTACACCCATACTCACGAGAGAAATAGGCCGTACAAATATTTCTCACGGCCCGGGAATCGAACCTGGGACCTCTGCGTGGCAGTCCAGCATGGTAACCTTTCGGCCACGGAGGCAGTTAAAATAATTGCCCGTGAATCAGCTAGGTGGACCACGGGCAAGAAGCGGTATTTTGCATTACTGCGTTGCTATTTATAGGCAGCGAACATCGAACTACTGCTGATAAAACACATTGTATTAATTTAGTCGCTTAGGAGTCGACACTATTTCTGCTCGAATTAAATTTTTCCCCATACTTAATCGGTTCTATTGCAGTCGTGCGGCATTTGAAAAATGTCTATACATTTTGTATACCGTATACTATACTGCCGTTTTTAAAATTTTCTTTTAAAAACAAGTTAACGGGTTCGACTTACCGGAATTTACCCTAACGATGCATAAGCTGAAATATCATTTAACAATTTCAACATTCTAAAACTGGGTTATGATTTTGTTATGATATCTCAAAACAATATTTTGTCACTTAGCCGAGGTTTAAGTTAGCAGACGGCAGTATACGTGTTCTATTTAGTTGTTGATATAAAAAAAAACATTGGTGTAAACTACCCATTGAATACCGCGGTTACAATTCTTCTACGTGAGTCTAAGTGGGGACATCAGTACTTGAAAAACCTAGTGAACACGCTAGTGGAACCAAGAGTGCAACCAACAGTCCGAAAGGGAACTTTGAACTACGGGGAATAACCGAAAATTTCGAGGTAAGTTTGTGTTCTTGTTCTATCGTGAAAATGTTTAGGAATCGTATTTTCACACCGTATACTAATCAGTGTATATTCTCAATTGTACTATATATTCAATACTTTCACAGTTATGTGGAATCAACCAAAGCCATTTGAAGTTGTATCTAAATGGCAACAAGCCACAATTAGGCTAATTTTCATACAATATCTAGTATGTAAAAATAGAGCGCGCGTGGCATGACTATGGCGCTGCAGCTGGGCTTCTAAATATCGTATGAAAATTTGTAGTGGCGCCGCTGCAGTCAGTCTAATTTGAAGGCGCCCTAAGATTGTACGCATTTGTACTGCGTGACCTGAAATGCTTTCTGTTCGACAAAAGGAGCGTACAAAATAAAACAAGTTTATTTTGGCAATTCATGTATTGTAATAAAAATTATAAAACCCTTAATTACCACTTTATCCTAATTTTAATTTTATTATTATACACAGCACCACAAGTATAGTGGAATAAATTTTATAAAAGTTAAGGCCATTGAATAGTACTAGTTTTCTTAATTGTTATTTAATGTCACAATGATAATTTGAATTAAAAAGTTTTATAAAACTTATTCCAAGTTTTTGGTAACCTTCCAGTCGAGTTAAATAGCATCATAATTTTTTTTCATCCTTAATTTAAGGTCAAAAAATATTTCTTAAAAACGTAAATAATAAAAAATCCCTGTCATAAAAAATTATGGAATGTCATAAAATAATACAAATTTAATGAAACACTTTTTATAAGTATACTGCATTTTTATAAAGATTTATAAATTTTTCGTAAGTATATATAATATTTAAGATAAGATTCGATTTCATAATTTTTTTTTTGTTTAAATATTATTGATGTTATAATAAATTATTAATAAATAGGAATATATAGGAGTATCGTTATCATTTCAATATTTATAAGAACTACACAAAACCTTTATTTTTAAATGTCGCATATTGGTGTTTTACAGTTGCCCATTCATAGGGAGATAAGTTGGTCGGTAAAAAGTCCGGTAATTTGAAATATAGTGTACTAAAATATACTCTTTCCTACGTAGTAATCTTTGTTTTTACATGAATGCTTTAATGTATTACAATAACATAAAAAGGAAACAAGTTTAATGAAGCTTACAATTTCCGTATATTACAGACAAATCTGGCAGAACTTCGCAGGTTAATACATCGTGAGCGCTTGTCGTTGAATTTTTAAACGGATCAAAATTAAGAACACACACACGACAATACAGCAGCAGCAATACAAATGCGATGCAGTCGCAGCTGCGATGATACGATCGCAATGGAAACACGCGATTGTCGCCGTGGGTCTAAGCACGACTTATTGAGCCGTAATTCCTGCTAAATTTGCCCCTAATCTATCGTGTAAAATAATATATTTAATATATAAATAGTATTTGTACACAGGAATCAGTTACTCTCTGCATCACTGTACTTCACAATATAAAAGGGTCAGCCATATTTTAGTTGGTGACTGTACTCATAATTGCAAACAGCTTTCATAAAAAAAAAATAGAATTTGCGAAAAAAAATTGCGATCGTTTGTTTACCCGGGCACATTTTGTATGGAGACACAAACAATTATTTTTGAAAGTGAATTTAAAATTAAAGCTAAAGCTAGTAAGCTAAAGTTGTTCCATATCATTAATACAATCACCAGCTTAAATATGACCGTATCTTTTTGTTGCTTTATAACCAGTGAAAATATTTTAGTATTACATTATGATAATTTATTAACGAGTTAATTTGCCAAGAGATATTTGGTAAAAATTACTTTATATATAACTGATTGAAAAACTAAAGAGGTCCAGCTCTTTATATTGATTATAAACTAAGGCTAACCACTAACCGACAAACACGTTGATTGCCAAAGACATAATTTATGTAAAAGGAAACCCAGCTTTTTCGTGGGCTCACCTTTAGAACGACGTCCGCACAGCGCCTCTTCTATGTGACGATTTCTTTTGTCTATAGCGTCGATTCTGTGACTCCTTAGTTCTCAAGAGAAACTAATAATAATGACAATAAAAATTGCTAAATTACACACATACTGACGACTCAGAATACCCTGACTGAGTGAATGATGATCCGGGGTCATCATTCACTCAGCTGAGAAGTTAAGGTAAAATTTAATCATAAAATTTACATCAGTGTCAGTCAAGACGTTGGAGCTAATAGTGCACTTTAAGGGCGTCTTCAAATTAGACGCTTACATAGTAACGCTGCAGCGGCGCCACTACTAATTTTCCTACAATATTCAAAAGCGTAGCTGCAAACATAGTCGCGCCACAAGCGCGTCACTTTTGCAGACTAGACATCGTATGAAAAGTAGTAGTGGAGCGGTTGCACTGCCATAGTGGCGCTACTACAGCGCTTCTACAAGCGTCCAATTTGAAGCCGCCTTTATTTGGCAAATAAACAATAATTTTACATAGTCATTAAAAAAAGATAAGTTTACATGTTATACATAAGTGAGGTGGGCTACATCATAAGATATTCAAACTGTCGAAAACGTGTTAAAAATTATTACATTTCAGTCATTGACTTACAATTATATGGACGTCGGGTCCGCGCTAAAAAGTGTCCGCACTTGTAAGGCGCTAAAATCGTATACAGAGCGCCAAACTCCGCTTTAGTCTTCATTTGTTCGACTGACAGCGCGATACTGCGATGACATTACAATTTAAATTTCGAATAGGTTGACTTGGGACATTCTTTTCGTGGTTTTTGTATTAGACCCGTCGTCCATTTATTTGTAAGTCAATGATTTCAGTGGCAAATTTGACAGTTTGCATACATCTAACCGCGACCCACTATTTACAGAGCAACATGCAAAGTAATATTTTAAACTAAGTATACATATTATTATTGCTTTTTAAAGGCAGACGAGTTATTTTTAGACCCTCAATCATTTGAGCTGTCATCAGCGCTAGTATCGGCTTACGACTTAGTTCGTGTGGTTACAAGTTACTTCTTTAAGGCTCAACTCACACTGGCGCAGAGTTGAAGCGTCGCGTCGCGTCCTGTTTTTCAACTACAACGCATGGCGTCGCTTATCGTCACACGTCGACACTCGCATTAGCGTGCCCGGATTACAGTGTATTCGGCGTCTGACGCGTCACTGCGCGCCACTGCGCGCACTAGTAACGCACGGCGACGCGCGCAACCGCTCGATAAAACGCTCCCTTGGTAAAAAACAACGCGCGAAGGCGCGAGTCGTCGCGCGACTCCGATTTAATATTTGCATAACACAAATTTGTAACTTAATAATGGGAAAATCGAGACGAATATGCTATAGGCGAAAAACATGACGCGTCGCGACGCTTCTACGCTGCGCCAGTGTGAGTTGAGCCTAAGGGTTTCACCAAGTAGTCGATGGAACCAATCAGAAAAGGCTTTATATCTAGGGCAATAAGGCTGTTAAAGTTTTGTCGTTGACGAATCGTCGATGACATTTTTTGGTTTTCGACACCAAGTGGCGGGACGATCAAGTTGTGCGTCACAACTTGATCGTCAGTCAGGCAGGCGGGCAGTCGTAGTCTGGCGTGTGCCTGACCATATCAGTTGTAGTACCACTAGCTTTAAGTCACAAAGATCTGTGGAGCATTGCCAATGCGCCCGTCGCCCTGAGATATAGGTTGACAAGTCCCATGTGCCTGTAATTTCACCAGCGCCCTTATATTTCAAAACTGGAAGGCAGTAATGCTCACATTACTGCTTGGCGGCAGAAATAGGTAAGGTGTACGAAATATTTTGATTTTTTTTATTTTTATTTAATTGTAAGCAATACTTCCCTGGATGAACTGTTTCACAAGCTCTACTGCTACTGACACGCATTTATCACCATGACTATGAAACTTTTTCTGACCAGCTTAACCTTTGACTATGTTTATTACTTTGGTGGAATTTCTGTCAAAGGTCTATAACTAACTTGTCCTAATTTGTGTGTGTGTGTTTTTTTATATAAGGCTACACGTCGACTAAATAAGGCGAGTCCAAAGCGCCGAGGCCGGCCGCGACGCCGCCTTCGTTCGCATCTGCCAATTTCGTTCGCAACATGTGACCTACTTGCTTGTTGCTTATTATTTTGTCTTTGGTTCTGTAAAACAATTCAATAAACAATTACAATACCTACAGGAAATAAACAATCAAAAAAGTCATCGCGAAAACCTAAAAGAACACGATACAATTAAAGTACCATTTATTATATTCCAGATTCGGAATCTTTACACTTTCATGGAAATTGGCGAATGTTATTGACTACAATAACGCCATGATGGCCGTTTTGACAGATTACAATAGTGAGGTCAAATCTCAATTCATTATCGAAAAAAATATAATGAAATGCGAGCCGCATCTATATAGCTGAAAATCACCGGTTTGCTCCTACGTAAACACCGACGCTGAGCTTTGGCCTTTTTGCACTGCTACAGCACACATACAGAACTGGGTGTTCGGCAGTGCTGCTACTCTGCTGTTTTTCCTTTTTATTGTATTACATATTTTTCTGTTATGTATGTGTGTCTGTAGATCCAAATAAACGTTTTATCTATCTATCTATCTATGTTTTTAGATTTATAACTAGTATTGCAAGGGGTAGCTGATTAATAAAACGAAAATAAAATTGTTTACTTAATATGTCGTCAATTCGAAACTGCTTCGTTTTGCATTGAGTTTTGACGCGAGTTTGTCGGTGGTACAAATTGTGCTGGCCAGCGATCCCATAAGTGACGATCATATTAGATTTCATTTTTAAAAGTTTCGAATTTCAATAAACAAAGTTGTGTCGTAAAATTATACATCTATAAATTTTACTGCATGTCTCTATTGACAACATCGAGTATATAACCAGAAATAGAGAGGAAATAAGGGCCATCTATCCCTGGCAACTCATCAGGTAAAAGGGCTTTATATCATTTTTAAATATCAACTCTCGTTTGAGTTGAAATCACTGATTAGAAAACTGAAATGGTATAGCGCCAACAAATAACATGTGTATACGTCTCCGTATATTCCAAAAATATTCTGTATTGATAGTATCAAAGATAATATCTCTAATAATGGTGGCTGTTCCATTCAGTGGTGTGGGAAAAACAGCAAAACATCTAATTATAAAACAAACGGAATCGTATTTCATCGGTAAATGTTAAATATGTAATTATGCAGTTTTCGCCCATTATAGCAACGATCAAGTTAAACTGGTCGATTTGAAGTGAAACAATTGACGGGTGTCAATTGTTTCGAATTTGGGCAGGCCAATTTTTTTTTTTTTTTTTTTAAATAACGCACACACTCAACATAGCCCCGCACTAGGGAAACCCTGTGTCGCGGGTGCCATGGACACATATAGACAAGCACAAATTACACCCAAACTCACGAGAGAAATAAATGTAGGCCATACAAACATTTCTCCCGGCCCGGGAATCGAACCTGGGACCTCTGCGTGGCAGTCCGGCATGGTAAACGTTCGGCCACGGAGGCAGTTAAGGCAATTGGAGCGCAAATGTCACAGTAATGATTTGGCAGAATAGTTTTCAAACAAATTAAATGACATTTCGTCTCTATTTCTAGTTATATACTGGATGACTGACAACAATCTACAGAAATTAGCTCCTTCAACGTAGTTATGAATAAGTACGAAACTTGATGAGCGGACAAACGTCAAAACGGCCATCATAGCGTGCCGATACTTTAATGATTTTTTTATGATTTCGAGTGACGACACCCACGTCTTGTTCATGCAAGTCGTGGGTTTGGTGGTAAGCGATACGTTTACCCATAACAATTACAGTCCCCTCAGAGCATTAAATCGCAGTAATCTAAGGGAACTCCCACTGCACCCGTTCGCAAAATACCCTTACCCTTCTTATAATTGTCATTTAACACATTGCTTCTATTAATTTTGTCAAAAATTTTGGGCGGGAAAGACATATATCATCTATACCGGGCTAATCTATCTTTATTTGATTTTTAGTTTCGGGTCTTAATCATGTATAAAACATATTTTGATCACTTCGACGTTTCCGAAGTATTGCAACGTCTATGGTCTTGAAGGGACTGAAGAGGCGGTGTCAGCATTTTTTAGCAGTGTGAGGTTTTTTATAACTACCCGGACTTGGTCATCAACAAAGTTGGTTGTGTCATCAACAATTACGTATTTCAACTTATGTTTAATAATAATAGACCCATTACCATGCTTAAGAATTGTAATAACTAAACGTATTCATAAAAAGTACAGAAAAGTTTGTAAAGCGAAGGATAGACCGAGTTCATAAGGGGCGCCACCAGCGTACGAAATTTTTAAGCGGAAAGGTGAGATAGGAGGATAGAAGAGTACTCGATCTATCTGGAGCGGAGGAAAAAGGATTGGAAAGGAAGTGAGTGTTAAGTGAATAGAGTTATTGAAAAGTGAGTATGTTTACTTGTTTTATTCTTATCTGCCAATTTCCCCTTCATGAAACCAATGATTATATTGAAGTTTATCTCGGCATTGCAACTGCATTCAACAGTTGTCACTAGACCGACACGCAACCGAGACGACGGTTTTAAGCTTTCATCGATCGACGTGGGATCCAGTCATCAGCAAAAGTAAACGACATCAAGTATCGTTCGACAAGTCGACGAGTGTTCTGTGTCGGTCTAAGGACAACCCTAGTGCACAAATAAATAATGAAGACCAAGTGCGGGTAGTTAGAAAAACGCGCACGGATAGATGTTGACACCCGCCTCTTCAGTCCCTCCGAGATGACGGACCAGACCATTGCAATACCTCCGAAAGGTCGCGGTAATTAAAAAATGTTTTATACATGATAAGTCCCGAACAAAAAATCAAATAGTACGCAAGTCGTGAAAGTTTAAATCAAAGTTATCTATCTTTGTGAATCAGAACAAAGAATTGTACCAAGAGTTTAATATTATACTTTTTAAGATTTGTACAAATCCATTTTACTATAGCATGTTTGCAAACATTGTCCTTACCCAATAATGACTCCAAATATTCCCAGCTCGGAGACGAGATCCGTGATCGGTGGTGGCACGGGACCACCGGGCCGCACAACATATCCTGCTACCTACAAATGACCACATAACTTTATAATTAGTCTTATTATTACATGATATTTTTGATATTGCCGGGTCCACATTAGCGAACATAGCGTACATGATTGAAGTATAAATAAATAAAACTACATTAAATTAAAATAGTAGTTTATGTGACTGTTACATAATGAAAGGTAATAAAATGCGAATGTGGATTTATGAAACGCAATTTTTTTCAATTTTTTATGAAAGCCTATAGGCGATTTTCATAAAAAACATACACGAACGTTTTAATACCTAATTATGTACAGTTACATACACTGCTTTTGTATACACATTATAAGCTCTCTATGATATTTTCAGGAGCCGCATGTTAGGACTGGCGAAATGGCGGTAAATAATATATTTTCTGGCGCATCTCACGCAACCGTAGCTTTTATTTAAATCATAAACAAACTAGAGTCGGCCCCAACTATAATATCGTTCGATATCAAGCTTAGACTATGGAAACTAAAGGACATGTTATGTTGACATATATAAATCAGACGTTATATGTATATGATGCATTTCGATGTTCAAAACATAAACATGTTATTATTGTCTTTGTTTAACTATTGCGTGCCGTCTTAAGCCAAAAGAGATAGCATTACATTGGTCTGTGCAAACACGGGAATCGAAAATACGTAACATCATCTTAAATGCCAACCGTGTCCATTTCGCAGTACATGAAGTACATGACACGGTTGTCAAAGGGAAGTACATGACATGTCAAAACAAATGTATTTCCAAGTGTTTTATTGAATTATTCGCATGTATTGTAATAAAATAGACAAAAATATTGACAGTGAGAACAATTAAGTATTAATAAAAATTCGTCACTGCAGCATTACGGGATGTAGCATTAGAAAAAGCTAAAATCGACCCAAATTAACATTGTACAGGCACGTGTTATTTTTCTGTCTATAAATCACACAAAAGCCCAAATATCTCATGTAATTAGACATATTTAAGTAGTTTATTCATAAATCTTGCCAAATTTTACGTTGGTTTCTTCAGATTGCCTGTTTGTTTGTATATTTTGATGATTGTTGTTAACGATTATTTTGAGATAGTGTTGTTCTTGGAAGTGTACATATTATCGATAGTCTGTTATCAAAATAAATCACTACGAGGTTTTTATTATTATTATTTTTAATATTTCAAGTTAACCTACAAATAAAAAAGAATGGTTGGCAATCATAGGAGTGCCGAATATAAACATTGAATCAAAGACCATCTTCATTTATTCGCTTCATTTTGAAGATTTAGTATGTAAGAGATTACATGATAATGCCATTCCATTATTAGGTTTATTGGTAAATAATTTTATATTTAATTTAGAATAAACAAGACTCAATTACTAGACATTCTCAGTTCCTGAAAACAAAATTATCCACTCGTTTCCCATTTTTTCCCACTGACAATTCTAACTACTAAAAATTTTTATTTTATAAAGCCAGCAATACAATGACCATGTTGGTCCAACGTTGCCGAGTGAAGGCCAATACCAACGCATAGACAGCCTATTTGCCTTGCCTTGCCTTGCCATCGATCGGTGTCACTCGCCTAGCTGACCGAGTGAAGGCGAGCGCTAACGTGTATAGAGCTCGTTTGACGTGGCTTGTCACAACTCGCAGTCGCTTGTGACTACTTGTCTGACTTCGGAGTAGTGTCGATTTTTCTGCACAAATCAAAGGGCTCGGCCAATAGTAGTCAATTGACATTGTATAATCAGACATTTGCGTACTATTTAATATATGCGGAACATGTTTATACTAACACTGTCTTTTGTTACATCTCCTGTTATTACCATGTTTTAAGCAAATAAGCGTATGTTAAAAATTTTATTATTGATAATATTACTACTTTCATCTATTTCCAAAATTAAATGGAAGCATTAAGTATTCACTTAAATCAGTCACAGATATTAATTCTATACCAATGCATAAATACAAAAAGCTTACACTATTTGGAAACTGTTAAAAAATTTCTTCATTATGAAAATATGAATCTTGAGATTGGAAATGTATAGGAGATCTCCAGATTTATATTTCAAAGTTTTATCTTTTTTATATACTCTCGAATTACATTTTTTCTGTGCAAATACACTTTTCGTAATATTTGAGTATTTGTAAACGCAAAACAATAAATTCAAAATTTCATGTGACATTCCCGGATATTCCCATATAACCTAAAATATTCCCAAATGGAATATTGATCTACTTTAATTAAATGTTTGCATGTCGATAATGGCTTATCGATAGATTAAGGTACGACACTAAAGAAATCCGCCATTTGTTCGTTCAATTTTTGTTTAGGTATGCACGTTCATTCATTATTTAGGGCAGCTCCTTTCTTTTATTTTTTTCCATCCTCTAAGATATCAAGTAACGTGTGAAATTTTTATAAACACATATATGTATATATAATGTTATATATTGTATATATAAAAATATAAAATAATAAAAATATACAAAAAAAAAACTGGACTACTTTCTATGATGTTTAACTTATGTGTAAAGTTGCTGAATTGGAGAAATTATAGGCCGGGCTCTAGTCATTTGTGGTATAATAGAACAAATCAGCAGACCTTACGAAGTTCTCTATGTGCTTTTGCCGATCGTTGCTTTTGGGTTTTTTGCCTGTGAGAAACCTATGAAAGTTTTTTCTTTACTCAGCCATACTTTGACATACGGTTAGTGGAGTTCGCTTTCGAAAGCTGAGCAACGTCGTACTTCTCTCAGTTACACCAAAAATGTTAAGACGACGGGCGGGATAGACAAATGACGTTGCTCTGTTAGCACGTGGTTAGGGCGACCCGCGCGCCATCTATTGGAGAAGGAATGCGTGTGTCGGTTTCGATTGTTCGCGTGCTGCCGTGTGTCGAACCGACACGCGTCGGAGTTACTAGACGGCGCACACTTGACGTAAGACTGTTCGAAGGGACGATGTGGCAATGTAAAATTTTGTTACTAAGAGCGCCTTCAAATTAGACGCTTATAGAAGCGCTGCAACGGCACCACTGTCCCTGCCTCTGTGGCCGAACGGTTACCATGTTGGTCTGCCACATCATGGTCATGTGTGAGTGGTGACAAAAGGATTCACAAATTCTAATAGCTCCACTCATGTTATGTAGTGGGGATATGAGTACTATGAAAATTCTACTGGACCCACTAGTGGAACCAACAATCCGAATTGGATTTCCGGGCCAGGAAAATATTTATATGCCCTAAATTTATTTCTCTCGTGAGTTTGGATATAATTTGTGGTTATCTATGTGTGTGTCCATGGCACCTGCGATATAGGGTTTCCCACGCGAGTAAAAAAAGGCGGGGTTTCCCTGGTGCGGGGTAGTGAGTGAGTGAGTGTGTGTGTTGTTATTACTATGTAGCGGCGAAACTACTAATTTTCATACAATATTTAGGAGCGCAGTTACAACGCGAATGTCGTGACCTGCGCGCAAGCCACTTCTGCAGTCACAATTAGTGAACCAACAATTACTGAAGCACTACAGACGCGCGGCTGCGGCGCCTCTGCACCGCTTCTACAAGCGTCTAATTTGAAGGTGTCCTAAAACTGAAACTTACCAATGGCGGCAGGATCCTCTCCATGAGGATGTAGGCAGCGCGCTCGCGGCTGTGGCGCATGCGCAGCAGTGCATCACGCACTTCTGTGCCGTAGATGTTGTTCCCTCCGCCCTCGCGCTGCGGCTTTAATACAAACCTGATCCATGGTATTAGAATAATGAATAAAATATTCTTCATTACACATTAAAAATTACAATGACAACAGAGACCAGCACCTAAGTAAGTATCACATTTTGAGCATTTTCAGTTATTATTATACATTTTGGTTCAGATAATTAGGAAACACTGTCTATGGAAAACTAGACACGAGAGATGTATTTAAATTTAATAAATATTTAACAGTAAGTTGGAATATTGAACTAAAAAATCTCTAAGTAGCACGCACCCAAGCCCAAAAAAATCTAGACACTATGATATTTCAGATACTAATTAACTCTTTGTGATGTCATGTTTCTGTCGACCTTTTTATTTAATACCCACATAGTGAAGCGGAGACGATGTCAATGATATACGAGTACTATATTATATAATATTATATATATTGTTGAAATAAGAAACTAAACCAAAATCTTCTTCTTTTAAATGTTATGGCCCCATCGAAGTAATCGGTGGTTTTGCCAATGTCGAGTTGAGGAACACACGCGTTTTTACTCAAAAATTGTGCAGTGTATTTCTACAGAATTCGAAACCAAAATCGAACGATTACAATTCACTTGAAAGTAAACAAACCATAGAAAATAAACATAACGTTGAATTAAAATTCAAATGTTAACGTCAAAATAACTAGGTGGAAAACAAAATCGGTTTTTATTTCGGAAATACGACATACCGACGACAAACTTCCTGGGCGGTCTTACAAAATCTTTAATCTATTTCGCTCTTATTTTTCTTCTCAATAACTACTATTTTAAAAATTATAAAAAAAAATTAATATAATGACAAAACATGAGCCCATAAGGGCAAATTTTATAAAGGGAACATTGGCAAAATGTGCAATTCTCAATTCGACAAAAGTAATAAATTAATATTTAGTGGTTTTAACTACTCTATGTCACTCCGTGTATCTATATGTGGACATTTATTTATTCAATTGGAACACTTTATTCCGACCATTGATATGTTTTTTCTGATCGTCATTAATGATATTCCGTGTCGAAAAGTGTGGTGATTCCATTATTTGTCGGAAATTTTCGTTATGCTTACCGCTCAGCATCAGCGAGAGCCATTTCCACGGCTTTCTCCCCGCTCTCATCGAAGTCTAAGGAATATAATCCAGTGAAGATATCCCTCACGCGGCTGGTGGCCGCCCCACTTCCCATGAACTTTTCCAAAGCACCAGGCACCGCTAGGGCTTGCTGAACCTTCTTAGTGCCCGCGAGTTGATAATGGATTGAAGGACATTTTATTGCACTGGAATGTATAATATTTGATTAGTTTTACGACCTTTGTATGGCAAGCTGATTGCGCTCGATGCGAAGGTCTCGATTTCAATTCCCGGAAGGGTTAGTTTGCGAAAGAAGCTTTGCTAATTCTGCACTATAATTAACGCATTAGCATTTCGAGATATTGGCGCCTAAAGTTTTTTTTTCTATGAATAATGTCAGTTACGCTGATTACGCGAAATCAGCGTAATTTCGCTTTACAATAAAACTGAAACTAAATAAGATATAAAAAAATCGCTTACAGGGGGTCGTATACGAGATATATCTCGTTTCGATGATTCCAGATATGTTAATAGTTCACCATGTGGTACACCAATAGTACATTGTGTATTAAGGACGGCAAATAAGGAATTACTAACGAGGGTCTATTAGAAGCCCGAAGTCTAAGCCTGAAGGCTTTAATAACTTGAGTTTTGCACTTTTTTACCGTCCGTATTACATACAATGTTTTTCATCACATTTGCGAGGAAATAAATATAATGTTTATTTCTAGTATGAATGATTATGGTTCTCAACAAAACAATAATGGATTTTGCAAATGGCGGGCTTTTTGTTTTTTTTTAATCAATAGATGGTCAGCTATTCTTCCATTGATAACACAACTCGACAAAAATATTGTGAGACGCATACAGCCCTAATGGATTGTAAAAAAAATTAGCTACATTTTTAAACAGAAAATAATGAAAATCAATTAGAAGAAATTCTTAACAATAAGTATTAATCCCGTTAAGCCGGTCAGAAAAACATTAATGACCATAAAATAATAGCTAAAAAGACCACGCTCTTATTGCAAGGATGTAAAAATTTTTCTGACCGGCTTAATGCGTTTTCCGTGTCGATAAGTGTGGTGACTCCCTAATAGCGAGGTTATATTAGAAGTGGGTTAGGTTACGAGATGCAAACGCGACGTTGATACATGCTGTTAAGAAACTTCTAACACTTACTTAGATCTCTCTATAAGAAGCCTGGCGTCCCATTCGCGTGATGATGGATATTGCCCCGGCTCGTATCCCGCTCTGTAGTACACCACCGCCGTCGGTCTGCCCTCGCTGTAATAAAAATACAGAGTCTATAAAGTTTTTAAAAGACTATTCGAGACTATTCGAGAATGAAGAAAACGCGGTCTAGATGATTAATTTATGAGATATTACATTAGCAGCAGTAGAGCACCTTGTGAAAGAGGTCGTCCAGGTTTTTTTTAATTAGCCCCGCACTAGGGTAACCCTGTGTCGCGGGTGCCATGGACACACACAGAGACAACCACAAATTACACCCAAACTCACGAGTGAAATAAATGTAGGCCATACAAATTATTCTCCCGGCCCGAGAATCGATCCTGGGACCTCTGCATGGCAGTCCGGCGACGGAGGCAGTTACTTACTGTTATTAGTTATTACTGCCACCTTACCTATTTCTGCGACCAAGCAGTAATATGAGCAGATTACTGCGTTCCATTTAGAAGGGTAAGAGTGCTGGTGAAATTACGGGCATATGAGACTTATCAACTTATGTCCCGGGGTGATGGGCGCAGTGGCAATGACCCTCCGAACTTGAGACGAAATGGAGACTCATAATCAAATGCTAATTAAGTGTAATTGCACTATCGCCGACGAGATCACCTGTACAACAGTATTCTAGTGCAGTATTAACATAACTTTTGTCAAATTTTTAGCGTTTTACAGCTCTGAGTGGCACTGAAACTGCAGTTGACGGACGTGTCGCTTACCACCATGCACACGACTTGTTCGTCCCGCCACTTCGTATCATAAAAAAAAATTCACACACATTTTATTTATCAAAGTATAAACAAAAATGTTATAGGAATAACTTACACAATCAATTGTTTCTTGTCATTAAGATCAGCCTCCTGATGGATTTCTGTTAAGGTTTTTCGATAAATCTGTAACAAAATACATTATAACTTCAAACCATGATTGAAAGAACCAAACAGATAACTAAAAATAAGAATGTAATTTGGAAAAACCTGTTATATGGCTTATAACTTTTTATTATAATAACAAATGACGGGACGAATAAGTCGAGAACCTCGTGGTAAGCGACACGCCTATACATAACAGTTGCAGTGCCACTCAGAGCTATCAATCGCAAAGGTCTTTAGGGCTACTGAGCCCGTCACCCTGAGACATAAGTTGACTAGTCCAATGTGCCGGTAATTTCACCAGCACCCTTACCCTTCCAAACCAGAACGCAGTAATACTCACATTACTGCTTGGCGGCAGAAATAGGTAAGGTGGCAGTACTTCCCTGGACTAACTGTTTCACAAGGAGCTCTACTTCTTAACTGTTCGGATAGGTTAAAGGAAAGGAGGCCGTGGTAGCCTAATGGTTGGACCTACCATCAAGTAGAGGCCGTGGGTTCGAATCCGGGCTCGCACCAGTAAGTTTCTCGGAATGTATGTGCCAATTTTTTTTTTTAATAACGCACACACTCAACATAGCTCCGCACTAGGGTAACCCTGTGTCGCGGGTGCCATGGACACACACATAGACAACCACAAATTACACCCAAACTCACGAGAGAAATAAATGCAGGCCATACAAATATTTCTCCCGGCCCGGGAATCCAACCTGGGACCTCTGCGTGGCAGCCCGGCATGGTAACCGTTCGGTCACGGAGGCAGTTATTATAATTTATAGATAATTTGAAAGTTAATATCTAAGAACTCCGATACGCTGAAACTCCATGTAAGTGAGTTGTGCCCTGCTGCGTAAAACTGTATGGGTTACCAAAAATACATAAGGCTGACACCCCACTCCGTCTCATAGTTAGCCAGATTGACACACCAACCTACAAACTGGCTCAACACATGGCAAAGGTACTGTCACCAGTGAGAGGGAACACATGTGAATGATTCATACCATTTCATCAGTGGAATCAAAGATCTACGGTTAACTGATGATGACACCATGGTCAGTTTTGATGTTCAGTCGCTGTTCACTAACCTACCAGTAAAAGACTGCATTGAAATTGTACGTAGAAAGCTAAGGGAACATAATATGTCCATTGAATATGCAGAATTATTAGAACACTGCCTAACATCAGGCTATCTATTGTGGAATAATGAATTCTACCTACAAATCGACGGTATAGCGATGGGCTCTCCGGTATCTACCGTTGTTGCCGATATTTTCATGGAAGACTTCGAGGAGCGAGTTTTATCCATGGCTCTAGCTAGGCTAAACTTTCAAACGGTACGTTGATAATACTTTCACAATATTACATAAAGATACCATACCTTCTTTCTTGGACCATATTAATTCTTTTAGTACTAAGATATTTTGTTTCAGAGAGCACATGGTGTCTGCGACAGTAATCATCTGGCAGGGGAACTTCAGCATATAAAGCAAGTCCTACATGGGAATAAGTTGAAGATTCCACGCCAATGCCGCAGGCCTTGTGTGAAACAACCAACAGTCGAGGGAAGATCTGCCATTTTACCTTACGTGAGAGGAGGATCTATTAAGACCTATTTCAAGCCCCCGAGGAAGATTTCTCAGTTCCTGAGACCCGTGAAATGTAACATCCCCTTACAGGATGCAGGAGTTTATAAGCTTGACTGTGAGTGCGGTCTCTCTTATATTGGACAAACGAAGCGAAGTATTTGTGTCAAAGAACATATAGCTGATGTCAAACACCGTCGCGTAAACAAGTCTGCAGTCTGCGAGCATGTCATGGATAAACCTACACATTCAATGAAGTTTGACAAACCCCAGGTCCTTGCAAAAGAAGTCCGTTATCTACCCAGGATGTTGCGAGATGCCATTAAAATTAATAAACAAAGAATTTCCAAATTTGTGAATTAAAACCAGGCAAACGGTTGACAAGACACTTTGAATAATACTATGCGATTGATCGGTTTAAATTTCGTAATGCGTTACACATGTTTAAAAACAATGCAATTAGGGACATAGTATCAAAACAAAAGTATCAATATTTTTGGTAACAGTCTGTTTCTCGTTTTTGATATTGTATTGCTTGCTTTTGAGAACAAACGTTTTGAAGAAGGAACAAACTTCGCCGGAATTGCGAGGTACTCAAATATAATGATTGTCAGGTATGTTAATTCCAATGTTTGTAACTATTTTTCTTCATTCTCATAAAGAAACAAATGGTGGCATACACTATACAGCCAAGTCATTTGTGATGAAGGTTGCCATTTAAAAAAAATCGCAAGGTGGCTTGCGTTATGATATGAGGTGTCCTAAGTAGGAATTAGTCAAAACTATACGATACTTGTCAAGAAGTACTAAAAAAAGTACTTGAAAGTATCGAATACAAAAGTATTGGAATCGGAAGGAAAAGTATTCGATAGCAAAAAGTATCGATACTTTTTCCATGTCCCTGTCAATTGGTAAATTTGAACTTAGTATTCATTTCAAATAGGTCACCTGTATATCAGGACGTTTGTCGGAGATCTCGAACTCGTGGAATCGCTGGTCGCAGATGTTATAGGACACCTCCTCGACGACAAAAACGACTATGGCCGTGGGCACGCCGAAGAGGTCGTACGCTTCGATAATGCCGCTGCATAAGCCAGATAGGGCGCGGTTTTCTGGCATCTGGATTTGTAAAGAAAAATTATTACTCGTCACACCTATACATTGGTACAAACTAAACGGCCATTTATATGGAGAGTCGCTAAACACAAAAGTCAATTTTCGGAAATATCGTAAAATTCATGAAAATAAAATTAAATTTGAAAAAGCGAGATTGTCGTTTAGTGACGGTATTAATTTGGATGTGCGCTATAATGAATGACGTCTTAAGTATAATTCAACATCAACGGAATAAGTAAAACTATTTGCAAGAAAAATACTTCTTACGTTTTTGATAAGTTCTCCGTGTCCGAATTGCCGAAGGACGTAGCTGAAAAATGTGAAAAACGTAATGTAATAAACATTAAAATATACAAAAAAAAACAAAAATAATAATTTTGGACAGAAAACAATTTTTTGAACTGAAAAATAAACATGTATATTACAATTGAATAACAAAAAGAAACAGTCATCATATTAAGCGAAAGTAGTTCAAACAACTGCGTTGGCGATAAACAGAAATTATCGAAAACATTAACCCTCATTAAGACAGTCGGTTAAAAGTAGACCTCTATCGCCAACGCCGTGGCCTTTGTAATGCGTTAAAAAAAGTTTAGTTCAAAAATTACATTCATAAAACAACGCTACAAAAACCATTCACAGGCATTATACAATTACAATCTACAATGCGACAACGAGTACAAGCATAGAAGTGTACAATTTAATAGGTATTCCGATTATTTACTATTTCACATGCTGCTGGAATACATTGTTTACAATCTACACTACTATTACATGCTACATGGGTACTACATCTACAATACGATTTGTCGGACAACATTAGAAAATTAACTGTAGAAATCCGTAAAACATACGATTTCAAGGTAAAATCAAAGAAATCTTTCACTGTCATACATGAAAAGCAGGATAAAAAAATTACATGAATTTGTAATATCAAAAGTTTAAAAAAGAAATCAGATGTGGCAGGGCAGGCAAACACATTAGTGAATCCATAAGTGGGTTTTTTTTTTTTTTCAATTTAGGTTGTTACATACTTTAGGTACGGAACACTAATAAACTTCATGTTTTCGGCTCTATAAATAAATTATGAGGATGATAGCTATTAATGTAACAACAAATATAGTAAAAGTAAATACATTATATCAGGTAATTTTCGAATTAATTATTTGAAGTTTACCCAACTATGCTTAACAGGCGGTAAGCATGAGATTGTATTGATTCTGAAAAAGAGAATCAAACGCGGTACGAGAGCTTGGTCGGTCTATTGGAACTTGCCCGACAACTTTATTAGAAATATCTCTTTTACACGCAAATAAAGCGTTACGACGTCGAATTGCAAGTTTCAGCCTGTTACGCCCATAGCACGGAATATTTTTTTTTTTCGACAATTAGGATTACGGCTATGAAGTGTAAGCAAACTTTACGTATGACCACGTTGTCTATTTTACAATAAGTATTGACCTATGACGATTTCGGTTGGTACAACAATAAGTGGTCTTTGAATTAGCCGTTCACATCATATGTATAGCAAAAGAAACACAAATAAAATTACAAGCTCTGACTGCTCAAAGATTGAATTAAAACAATAGCCATGTCTCGTCTCAAATAAACAATCGAAACGAGATATTTTGAAAACGAGACTTATACCCTTCTTTGTTGGCCAACATGTCAGTAAGTCATCGTCAGTTTTTTGTAAATACAAAAACTCATGCATATACAGAAAACAGAACGAAGTAGATATAAATGTATAACCTTAAGTTGAAAAGTATGTCAATGTTTAATTATATTAACAATGTGTGTTGTACATAAAGGTAGAAAGTCAATGTCAAGAATTAGTACCTAAAGAAAGCGTGTAAAAATTTGACACGGGCTTGTGTGCCTCTCCAGATAAACTTGGTATTAAAGATTGTACGCTACCCCGCGCCTTTTATCGTTCACACACGCCTCACGTTATAAAAATTGCAGAAGGCAACTGATTTTGAGTGACAGTTTTTTTTAGTAATATGGCGTACCGATTATTAAAATCGCCGCACAACTCCTGGTCCAGCGCAAAGAACCACGAGCGTTGAGGCGGTCAATAATTTTAGACCCAACCTTGTTATTCTAGAATTATTTACTAACATTACTATGTTGATTGTCACTGCTATCACAATACTTTGAGTGAGAACTTGTAACTTAATTAAAAATAATAATAATATTATAATAATTCGATATAATGTATAGAAAAAAAATTGGATATTAAGGCACAAAATTCTATTCAGCACGTTTGTAAAGCGGGGCAAACACAACCTGCTTATTGGTCAACACCGACAGACAGCATACAAAATGAACATAGGTCTTAGGTAAATATAGCTTTGTTTTATCATTGTCCAACAAGCAGGATAGTAAATGTTACGCTTTAGTCTTCAACGATGAATAGATCACTGCGCGCGCTCCGCATCTAATGACATTATGATTGGGATAAACACAACATATTCATTACCTATGTATAATGAGAGTTTACCAGTTATTATCTAATATATTTTTAGAAGGCCACTTATATTGAAGAAGGTTAGTAACGTAGAATTGTCCGAATATATTAAAAACGTAACATGGAATCATTGACAAGTTGAAAACCACGGACAAAAAATTTAAAACGGAGTCTATAGTCTTGGAAAAATTTCCTTTCGAAAAACATCATGTCTTCCGGATGTTTTACCAATATTTTTCTTTATTTTTCCACATTTGACGTTGACACCAGTCAAAAGTTGAAGGTACTGAACGAAAACGATAGAGTCATTAAAAAGTTTCTTTCGCTGTTATGAAATAATTTTCAATTTTGTTTTTCTTTTTGTAGCTTTTAGCTATACAAATTTATTTCAGAATTCATGCTAAAAAAACTTAAGAAATAAAGCCTTATGGTTATATCTATAAGGTTTAAATTAAAACCTTCAACGCAAACGCGATAGTTACGTTTACATATTTGAAAACTTACAACAAGGCCCAGATCGCACAACGTAATGCCGGGTAATCCTCACCAAGCCGTAATTATAACGTGACAGATACAGTAACGAAGTTCTGGAGTGTACATGTGAAAAGTCTTCACTCGCTAAAATGATTACACACGAAACGTGCGAAACACATGCAACGTTTACGGTTACAGCTCGCTAGTGAGTATGCGGCTTAATGCACGTGTGCAGCTCGTGAGCCTTTCACACACAGGCGCATTCGCCTGATCTGTACGCTCCCTTATGTCACAACCTTGTAGTTAGGTCAACTCATAAAATAAACGCTCGTTCAATACAAACAAATAGCTGAAACAAACATTACACGTGAATCAGTGATGGCTCACACAATGGATAATATTTTGCTTAAAATGAGTTGTTTATATAAACGGAAATGTAAATAGGTACTTCAATATGTGTTTGTCATTAAATATCTATTAGGTACCTACGTTAATTTCGAATGTCAGTTCTTTAATTTTTTTTAATGTTACCAAGTGACAAGGCCCAGATCGCACAACGTAATGCCGGGTAATCCTCACCAAGCCGTAATTATAACGTGACAGATACAGTAACGAAGTTCTGGAGTGTACATGTGAAAAGTCTTCACTCGCTAAAATGATTACACACGAAACGTGCGAAACACATGCAACGTTTACGGTTACAGCTCGCTAGAGAGTATGCGGCTTAATGCACGTGTGCAGCTCGTGAGCCTTTCACACACAGGCGCATTCGCCTGATCTGTACGCTCCCTTATGTCACAACCTTGTAGTTAGGTCAACTCATAAAATAAACGCTCGTTCAATACAAACAAATAGCTGAAACAAACATTACACGTGAATCAGTGATGGCTCACACAATGGATAATATTTTGCTTAAAATGAGTTGTTTATATAAACGGAAATGTAAATAGGTACTTCAATATGTGTTTGTCATTAAATATCTATTAGGTACCTACGTTAATTTCGAATGTCAGATCTTTAATTTTTTTTAATGTTACCAAGTGACGGGACGTACAAGTCGTGCGCCTGGTGGACTGCGACACGCCTGTTCGCAACAGTTGCAGCGCCACTTAGAGCTTAAAATCGCAAAGATCTGAGGGTCACTCCTATTACGTAACCCTGAGACATATTAGTAGACAGGTCCCATATGCCTGTAATTTAATCAACACCTGAACTCTTCAAAACCGGAACGCAGTAATGTTGACATTACTGCTTGGCGGCAGAAACAGGTAAGGTAGCAAGAAACTATTATTCCGGATTTAAATCGCGTATATACACATATTTGTTTTTGCAAACAAACCGACTTTTCGGGTCCTTTACAGGTCCCATGGTCACGGTTGATTTAAATCCGGAATTTCATTTCCTATGTTACACATAAGAAATCGCGAAAACCTAAGAACTCGATATTATTTCTATTATTAATTTCTTAAATATAGCGAAAATGTAAATCAACACACTGTACAAATATCCAAACATGTGTACGTCTGTCCATAGCATAATTTTAGTTTCGAGTTATATAAGAATCAGTCCGTACTTGGTAGGTTTTTTTTTTAATTGGTTTAAAATATGTCTGTATGTGATCCAGGCTTACTGAAAACCAGGGCCACAGTCTATTATCATGTAGCTTTATGCTGAATGAAGTCCTTTTGCGTACGCCATAACCGCACAAATGACAGAAAATTTGTAATCATTATATTTTGTTTTTTTTTTGCTTTTTGTCTTATTTTATGTTGTTTTTTTTTGTTTTATTGTATCTTATTTTGTTTATTCTTTTTATTTTATTTTGCTTGTCTGTGTTATCAGTATATTTTTTTATATCTATGTGTTGTGGCGTTGTAATAAATTCTATTCTATTTTCTTACAGTCATCCAAGGTTACGGAGAATTTTACAAAATAATATAATATTTCTACTTTACTACTCTATTATTGTTTCTTTAAGATCGGTTTTTGTGACAGTTAAAATTGTCGTTTAGTTCTTATAATTATGTAACTGTTATATAAAATAAAATTTACGGTTCATTAATTCAATAAACAATTGGACCGTGAAGATTTTATAAAGTGGTTATGTAATACAATGAAATCAAGTAGGCAGACACTTTTTATAAGTAGACACTTAGAATAATAACGCATAGAATGATAGTATCATATCAAACGAACTGTCACAAGTGAGGCAAAAATCAAATTCATGTAGGCTAGTTTTAGTAGTAGGTTCATTTTCGGTTTTAGTGAATATTTATATAAAAATACAAGTTGAAACGCGTTACTTCCTTGTGGAATGTGATGTTAGTATCTATTTTATGTTTGTCTGACATATTTTTACACTCATT